GGGGTGATTTCTTGCTTTTTGTCTCTCTGTCTCTGTCTTTCTGGCGAGTGCATGTGCCCTATAGCAAAAACCTCTCAAAAAAAGACAATGAATTTCTGCTCGCTTTGGCAGCACATATGCGAAAATTGGAACAATACAGTGAAGATTAGCATAGCCCTGTGCAAGGATGGCATGCAAATTCGTGAAGCGTTCCATGTTTTTATAGAAGCATTAAAAATGGTTATCGACTCTGGAGACAATGTGGGAAGAAGATGGGAAAAGGGGGGAGAGTGTCAGGAAAGAAATTAAGGAGGAAAATAGAGAGGCAAGACATGTATAGGGCATAGAAATGGGTTATTATCTGTTGATGATAATGTGCTTTGTATCCTCAACTGGATTGGTGTGAAGCATATTCATGTTGGGTGAACTCACTTTACAAGTAAAGTGATGCATAGTGATTAAATGTATAAAATAAAAGTAAATTTTTAAAAAGGAAATGAATCCATAGTTGTGTGTGAGTCCGTATATAACATGTATGTATAAAGATTAAATGGGGAAAGTAAGTCTCCTAACCTGGACCCAGATGCCTTAAGAGGTACACCCAGAGCCGGCCTGCGCATATCGCCGTACGTACATGCACATCCCTGTCTATATGCTTCTCTTTTCACTGGGTGACATTTTTAAAATTTTTTCTCAACTTGATACTTTGATAACTCTTCTGTTTGCTTGTTTTGTTTTTAGTTTGCTATGAGGCACATATGGTTGACAGAGAGAGAGAGAGAGACAGAGAGAGAACTCCCCAATGGGGAATGGTCATGCTGCAATCCCTCTCCTCCATTCTTCTTTTGGTATTTTGGGCACACACATACATACACTTGGTATGTTTCTCAAGTTACCAGGTCCAGGACTCAAACCATGACATCAGCGGTGTGGGATCCAGCTGCCTTAACCACCGTGTCACTGGCTGGTCCCATCTTGGTTTTTTTGTTTGTTTGTTTTGAGTTTTTTTTGCTATAGGGTGCATGCACTCACCAGAAAGACAGAGAGAGACAGAGAGACAGAAAGCGAGAAATCACCCCCTGGGGGAATGGCCATGCCACAATCCCTTCTCCATTCTCCTCTCAGGATCTTGGGCATGCATGCACACACATCCAGTGTGAGTTTTAAGCCACCAGGTCCAGGACTCAAACCATGACATCAGCGGTGTGGGATCCAACTGCCTTAACCACCGTGTCACTGGCTGGGGCCCACCTTGGTTTCCTTTTTTTTTTTTTTTTGCCTTAGGGCCCATGTGCTCACCAGACAGACATACAGAATGAAACACTTAGAGAAAAGGTGAGAAATCCTCTCCAGGGGGATGGCCACACCACAATTCCTTCTCCTCCATTCTCCTCTTGGGATGTTGGGCATGCATACACACGCACCCAGCATGATTTTTCAAGCCATTGGGTCCAGGATTTGAAGCACAGTCGACCATATGAGAGCCCAACAACATAACTGCTATGCCATCTGCTGGTCTTATCTTGATTTTTTTAAACAAAAAATTTATATTAGATATTTTTCCATATTGGCATTTCTTTCTTTCTTTCTTATTTTAAGAGATTTTTGCCTTAGGGCACATGTGCTCACTAGAGAGAGAGAGACAGAGACAGTGAGAGGGAAAGTGAGAAAATCATGCCTCACGGGGTAAACGCCATGTCATAATCCCTTTTCCTCAATTCTCCTCCTGGGATCTTGGGCACGCACACACACATGCTCAGCAGGATTTTTAAGCCACCAGGTCAGGGAATCAAACCGCAGTTGACCATGTGGGAGTCCAGTGATGTAACCACTATACCATTTGCTGGTTCCAATATTTCTTTTTCCTGGAAAGATTTTTGCTATAGGGTGTATGCACTCATCAGAAAGACAGAGAGAGACAAAGAGACAGAAAGTGAGAAATCACCCCCGCCCCCAGGGGGAATAGCCACGCCGCAATCCTTTCTCCTCCATTCGCCTCTCAGGATTTTGGGCACACACACTCACATGCCCAGCTTCAGTTTTAAGCTGCTGGGGCCAGGACTTAAGTTGCAGTTGACTATGTGGAAGTTCAGTACCTTTTTTTTTTTTTTTTTTTGAGAGGTTTTTGCTATAGGGCGCATGTGCTTGCCAGAAAGACAGAGAGACAGAAAGTGAGAAATCATCCCCCTCCCCAGGGGGGATGGTGATGCCGCAATCCCTTCTCCTCCATTCTCCTATCGGGATCTTGGGCACACACACACATGCACCCGGTATGAGTTTAAGTTACTAGGTCCAGGACTCGAACCGCGGTCGACTACATGGGAGTCCAATGAAATAGCCATTACGCTAACTGCTGGTCCCCAGGGGTCCAGCCCCTTAACCAGTATGCTACCTGCTGGCCCCAAATAGGCTTTTTTTTTTTTTTTTAAAGAGATTTTATCTAGGCCACATGTGTTCGCTGGAGAGGCAAAGAGGGACAGAAAGACAGAAAGCAATAAATCACTCCTCAGCAAGGGATGGCCACACTACAATCCCATCTCCTCCATCCCTTTCTCAGGATCATGGGCACAAATGCACATGGTCACGCATGCACATGTGCCCAATGTGAGTTTTCAGCCATCGAGTCTGGGACTCGAACCACGGTCGGCTATGTGAGAGTCCAGCAACATAACCATTAGACCATCTGCTGGTCCCAATATTGGTATTATTTTAATGAAGAATTATTTAATTTAATTTTATTCATTGTCATTATTTTGTTTATTTTTTTATTTTGAAGTTGACCAGAGAGACACAGAGAGAAGGAAAGTGAGAAAGCAAGCTGCCAGGTCCAGCACTCAAACCCTGGTCAGCTATGTGGTTCAGCTACCTTAACCACTATGCCACTTGCCAGTTCCCACCACATTGG